AGATAGGAACTTTGATTCACTTGGAACAGGAATTAGGCCCTTATCACCTTGATCTAGGTCAGTGGTTCCCAATCTTGGGTTACCCAGATGTTCTTGGATTGCAACTCCCAGAAACCCTGGACAGGACAGCTGGTGGTGAAGACTTGTGAGAATTGCAGACCATGGAGCTGTGAACCACTGATTTAGGTAACAGAATATTAGCACATATGTACAGCATTGGGAAGGATGGTCTTGTAGCAACAGGCTGCCTTTTTACATGTCCTTGTTTTTTAAGTCCTTGAAGATTCTATCTCCAGAAGTAGCTTCTTGATCCTCACATAAGAGAAAAACTTCAAAATACAAAGGTGTTCTGAGATTGGGTTCCTGTCATGTTTGAATTAGAGACACTTTCTAGACGTTTATGCAAGTATCTCCTGAAGAGAAACCAGAGTATTGGTTATTGCAAATGCTCGGAGAAGTATTAAGTCACTCATACATTTTTTCTTTGCAAAAGGAGGTCAGCATATACCATCAGCCATACAGGTCTTTAATGTCAAGGTGTTAGCACAGTTGTTGTATGGTGCACAATGGTGTAGATACAGAAATTTTATTGCAATGGAGTACAGTCAAATGAAATTTCTGAGAACTATCCTTGGACTCCCAAGTTGTGTGCCAAATGTATTTTTACGACTAGAAACAGGCCAGATGTTGATGGCGTCTCGGGCATGGATACTTAAGTTGAATTTTTGGCTAAAAATGTTCTTCACCTGTGGGCTTGGCTCCCTTAATGCTGATAACTTTCAGTCCAGATGGAAAAGATCTATGAATGAGAAATTAAATAATTTCAGCCTCTTGAAAAGTGCTATTTTGTTAATGGGCTGTACAAAAGCAAAGCAGGAACTACACCAGCGCATCACAGACAATGAGCTGCAATACCATGTCAGCATAGCTATGACCCATCCTGGCCTTAGAGATTAAGGTCAGGCATTTTTACCTTCATGCTATTTGAATATTCTGACCCTTCCAAAATATAGAAAAGCTTTTACATTAGCAAAGTTTAAAGTTCTTCCTTCAGTCCTGCTGGAAGGCAGATACAAGAACATCCCCTATGAAGAGTGCTTATGTCCTTGTGAGGCTGGTGTGGTGGAGACGGTTGGCCATGTTCTGTTGTATTGCTCATTCTCCACTGGTTTCTCTGACACTTTTATTCATCCAATTTTGCAAAGCATCCCCGGAAGAGATGATGAGTACTATACATGTTATCTGCTGGCAGACCAGTAATGATTAAAGTGGCCAGCTTCTGTGCAGCAGCACTAGTCCGCAGGCAAGAAATGGTGTCTTAATCGTCTAGATATATACATCTATGTATGCATATATGAATATGTATAGATTGGGGGTAGAGGTATGCTCCTAACAATTATTTATGGAATTTGTTTCCCTGGGAGTCTGCCGCACATAATGTATATTGTAGTTGTGTTGATTCTGTTTATTCTTGTGCGGTTCTGTGTTATTTACATCTGATCTGTTGATCGTACAAATAAAATTCTTAACAAGTGTCTCCTGCTTTGTTGCCTTCTTTGTGCATGGAACTGATGGGTGCATATGTAGATGGATGATTAGACTAATAGATAGGTATAGATATATATTTTAGCTAATTTGTTTTTGTTATTTGGTTTAAAATTTCATAGCTTTCCAAAGTTTATTGCATTGTTAACATTCTGTTGGAAAATAGACCGATAGAACCAAGAACATCAGCAACCCTGAACAAATCTCTTCTTCTTTGACTGTTGATTCATTCTATACAATACTTCAGACATTATGAAACATTTTGGTCTGAAATACTATGTCAGGAGAGTAACAAAGTCTCATTATCATGGCCGCAAAATTTCACAAGGGAAAAATGATGTCTGAAATATAATTAAAATCCTAGAAGTTCCAGGTCTTGTCATGAAGATAAAAATCATGATTTAAGCTCAGGAATATTAAAAGATTAATAGCACATCCTATGCACCAGCGGTCACCAACCTTTTTGGGACCGTGGACCGGCTGAGCCTCCAAGGAAGGCGCCCCCCCGCAGGTGTACGCAGGTGCATGCGCACTCTGGGGCCCATGCGCAAAGTGGTGGGTGAGCCCTCACCCGCCAGTGTGAGCACTCCCCCACCCCTTCATGCATGCACAGGGGCGCCTATATGCCCGTCCACCCCTTTTAAATGGGCGCTCAGGCACTGAAGGGTTGGAGGAGTGCTCATGCTGGCATGTGCGTACATGCGCAAAGCAGATGCGGGGAGGGGAGTGCATGCAGGGGGGGAGGTCTGTCTTCATGGCCTGGTACGGCTCAGGCCACAGACCGGGGGTTGATGACCTCTGTTATACATGTCTAATCAGAAATAAACACAATTTAATAAAATGGAATTCACTCTCAATAAATTGTGTTTAAAACTGCAACATTCCAATTGTAATCTTTTGGTATATCATTTTAATCTTTTCTTTCAAATTCTGGAACCATAAATAAGGTTGAGGTACAGTCCTTTAAAAATTAGCCTCACTGGGACTAGATTTAAAAACAATTTTTTGAATGGAATTTAAGATTTTTGTGTGTGCAACTAGCATTTCATATTTGTTGGCTTTTGATCCTTGTCTCCAATTTCAAACATTTTTTTCCTTCTACTGTCTCTGCTATGATGTCTGAAGGGCTTCACCTATGTGTAGAAACCTTTGGTCCAATCTGCAGTAATGGATATTGTGGTAGTAGTGAATTCCACACATCAATGTTGTATTAATATGGATATGAGAGGACGGGACTTAGAATGTTCGTTCGTCGTTCGTTTAGTCGTTTAGTCATGTCCAACTCTTCGTGACCCCATGGACCAGAGCATGCCAGGCCCTTCTATCTTCCACTGCCTCCCGGAGTTGTATCAAATTCATGTTGGTTGCTTCGCAGACACTGTCCAGCCATCTCATCCTCGGTCGTCCCCTTCTCCTCTTGCCGACACACTATCCTAACATCAAGTTTTTTTTCAAGGAGTCTTCTCATGAGATGGCCAAAGTACCGGAGCCTCAGCTTCAGGATCTGTCCTTCCAGTGAGCACTCAGGGTTGATTTCCTGCAGAATTGATAGGTTTGTTCTCCTTGCAGTCCAGGGGATTCTCAAGAGCCTCCTCCAGCACCACAATTCAAAGGCATCAATTCTTCGGCGGTCTGCTTTCTTTATGGTCCAGCTCTCACTTCCATACATCACGACAGGAAAAACCATAGCTTTGACTATTCGGACTTTTGTTGGCAAGGTGATGTCTCTGCTTTTTAAGATGCTGTCAAGATTTCTCATCGCTTTCCTCCCAAGAAGCAGGCGTCTTTTAATTTCATGGCTGCTGTCTCCATCTGCAGTGATCATGGAGCCCAGGAAAATAAAATTTTCCTGGGCTCCAAGCCAAACCTAACGAATGTTCGTTAGGTTTGGCTTATTGACTGTCAACATTTTTGGATCGTGTTACCGTCTCGATCTCTTCCGGCAGGATGGGCCTCTAAATAAATTTATTCCAAAACACTAACTGGTTTATCTAATCAGTAGAAGGTCCTTTTGAATATCTGCTTGTCCTTTCGAATTCAAAACTGGGTGGGGAGCACTTAATGTTCTCGCATACTGACAGTGACTCGGTTTGCACCCTTTGTATGGAGACAGCCATGCCTTTTTGCTTTGTGAAGGGGAAGCGGGCGGGGGAGCAGAGGCGGCTATTTTTACTTCCAGGTTTGTTCCTAAGGCCACATTCAGCCAGCCAAAGAAGTAATGTACTCCAACTCTGTTATTTCTGATGAATTCTGTTCTCTTCATCGCCGCCCTCTTAAATTGCTCTTCGAATAATCACGGCCAGTCAACTCCACGTCTCTTTTTTTGGGTCGTAGTGGCGGCCTGTTGCCACTAGCAACACAGACTTTTCTGCCCTCAACCAATATGGCGGCGCCCGGGCTCTGAAGCCGGGGTGCTTATCTACCTGTCACTCGTCCGCTCTCTATGGTTACCATGGAGGTCTGTGGGCGGAGAGTCCCGTGACGGAGTTTCTCGGTGCGCGCTGACGGTGGCCGGTAGGCGAAGTGGGCGATGATGGTGGCGGCGAGGGATGGCGGCGTCTGTAAGGTAAGGGCTGCGGGGAAGTGGGTTGAGGCCTGCGGACATGGGCGGGCGCCGAAGCGGAGCCGCTCTTGGGCTGTAGCTGGAATGCGGAGGGAGGGAAGTGCCGGGTATGGGAGGTATTCTCGGGCGGGTGAGGCGGCTGCAAGGGCTGGGAGACCTGAAGGAAAGCGGGAGGACCTCGGTGTGGGCGGCGGCGGCAGCTGAGGCGGCGGAGGCGAGGAATGAGAGGTCGGAAGGGAAGGGTCGGGTCGGGTCGGGTGGGGAATTCACGGGGAAGGCTTTCGGGGTTGGTAGCCAGTCTGGCTTGGGCGGGAGGCGAAGGGTTGAGGAATGTGGGAGGGCAGGCGCGGCTGGGTCCGTGGAGAGGGGCGTCCTTGGCAGCCGGGGTGGGAGAGCGAGCGAACGAGAGCGGGGCGGCGGAGCCGAGCGACGCCTCTGTGGCCTGGGAGGGGTCCGCCTCCGAAGGGCGGCTTGGCGGGAGGCAGAGCGAGCGGGGCCGCCGAGTGGCGGGGCCTCACAGTGGGGTCGGGGTCGGCGAGTCCACCCTTCGGTGGGTTTTTTTTTTAAACAAAAGTGCTGGGTGTGTGTGTGTGTGGGGAGAGAGTCAAGGGGGAGGGAAGGCGTTTGTGGGGTACTGGGCGGGGGAAGGGGGGGTTCCTACTGCCTCAGGAGCTGCACCTGTGCAAAACAGCCTTGGTGGCGGCAGCAGATGATGGGGCCCAGGCCAGTGGGGAGTGGCCCTGGAGGGGGAGTGCCGAGGGTGCCGGGGCAGGGGATCTCCCAGGGTGGAGCGAGTGGGTAAGCAGGCAGGGAGGCAGGGAGGCAGGCGGAGAAGGGCTTGAGAGGAGGAGGAGGAGGAGGCGGCGGTATTTCTGGTGGTTTGTGGCAGTGGCGAAAGGACAAACGTGCGCCTGTGCAGTGCAGTCCTGCTGGGCTGCTGCAAGGCTGTAGGTGGAGAAGCCTCTGAGCCAGGCTGGTCGAGGGCTGCTGACAGGCGGCAGGGGTTGGGCTTAAGAGGCCACCAGGCAGACCGAGAAGCGGCGGCGGCAGCAGCTGCAGCAGGAGGCTGTTAACGTCGAAAAGCAGGAAGCACAAAAGCACTGACACTCTTTATTAGCAGGTATCGCCAGCATTTTGAGAGGGATCAGACTTGGGCTACTTGTTTGGGAACAAAAACCTCAGGTGTCCGGCACAGTATATAGCCTAATGGAGTTCCTTCATATGTTGACTTCTTGTAGCATTTCCAGAAACTCTGTTTTTTCAACACTTGCAGAAGGCAGTAAGATTATTTAAAAACACAAGCCAGTTTTTTTATTTCTAGGAATAGGTATGAAAATATTCTAAGGTTACCTTTCCTGGCCAGCTGAGGTAATTGTCACTACCCTAGCAAGCAGACACAAGTTACTGTGTCTTGTTATTAAATTTTGCTAGTCTATAAAGTCATCAGGACTTTTTATGAGAAGGAGTTCTGATTGATAATATATTTGTTTTGAAACATAAATTGTGTAAGGGTAGTAACAGTAGGTTGATTCTGATGTAATGCAAGAATAAAAGGAAAACAATTTTAAAAAAAGAAGTGACTGTGTTAGTCCACATGTCGACAGAATTAAAATTTGATAAAAACAAAACATCAAAAAACAAAGAATGGGAAAGCAGAGGACAAAATATTGTATGTTCTAAAACATTAACAGATCTGTTTCAGTATGAGTTCTTATTGATCAACCTTGAGTGGATTTCAATCCGTAACAGTTTGTAAATCTGTCTTTGAGGTGCCACAGCATTTTGCCCCTTGCGGAACCCACTTTTTTGTTCTTGTTTTCTACTTTTAATTTTGTCAGCAGGAAAATAAAAGCTGTTCAAGGGCTTTTTCATGATGGTTCTGACCAGCATTCTATACAGATGGTACTTCCAATTTTGACACTAAATGCTGTAGATTTGATTTAAAATTATCTAGGTATTAGTAGTCTTGATTAATTGTATTGAGATTGCTACTGTAGTTTTATCTAATATAGTGCACTATTCTGTATTGTATGTTTAATTAATGCAATGTTAATACTTACTGTATGAATTTTTTAAAAACCCTTTAAGTTGATATTTTATTATATTTCAAAGCATAGCTTCAAATGGAGTGCAACATTTTTCTTTTCACCTGCATGTACATATTAACAAAGATGCTTTCACAGACAAAATGGTAATTATGAGTGAGTTTTAATTGTATACTCCAGTCTGCCTTCGGAACCATAAAGCTGTTCAAACATAACTTGAGTGTTTTCCACAGCTGATGTTGATTCTCAGTAATTTTCTAAATGAGATTTTGTTCAAAATGTTGTTGTTGTTGTTTTTGCTAATATGATTATTTATCTTGGAAAGTTAAATCATGTTGAATTTATTTGAAGCGGCACAATACATGTACCTGCATTTTAGGCATAAATGACGTAGCAATCTTGGGAGTTCTACCCAGTTCTTATTAAGGTCATTTTGTGACATTTGTTGCAACCATGGTTGCACTGTAGATGAGAAGAATTCTTAAAATCAATTCCTGTTGACATGGGTTTAAATATTTAAATTTTCTTGGTGATTTATTCTGAACAAGCAACCTTCTGGCAAGTAGAGTAGATTATCTAATAATGGCAACTGGATTCACTTTTGTTTGCACTAGTCATCATATTTGAGTTGGCTTTGTTGTGCTATTAAGTTTCTCTAAATATAACAAATGAACAGGCTGTAGTTATTTGTATACATTTTGGAAAACCAGCGGTTTCATGAGAAGGGAGAGGGCTACTTTCGGCTTGGAGTTCTGTAGAATAAGAATGCAGACATCTAGTCAGAATGCTCCTGATGGTATATAGGTGTGGAAAATTATTTCCCTATCAGCTCTTTGGAGAGTGAAAGAAGTAATGTTTGTGAACTGTGCCAGCTGTGTGTACAGCTGTTGTGAGTTACAGTTTTTCTTTAGTTTACAAGGAAGAGGTGGAGAGGCCAAAGTATTGCCATATGTTATCTCAGACAGTTGTGTTTTACTAACAAGCTGGTTCTTAAAAGTACACTAGGTGGTCAGATCTTCCACCCCACTAAAACATGATTTCTTCAGTTAAAGATTTTGTGTGATTGCATGTTTGTTTGCACTTTTTGCAGTTTCATTTCAGGAATTTTGTGCTGGAAATAGTACTAATATTGTGAGGAGATTATTTTAATATATATGATGGTGTGCCTATCATCAGTTTAACAATTATGGTTGAAGGTTAATAGGTGCAAACAACTTAGATGTTTCTTAGAATAAATAAAGTCTGTTGAAAAAGAAGAAGAAAATCTTGCAAGATTTTGGAATACTGAAGATGCTGTAATACTCTGTTTAAGCTATGAACTCAGATTATAGGATCAGGAATTTCATTTATTATTTGCTTGTTACTCCAATCTGTTTTGAAATAATATTGGGTAGAGATTATTTCCATATTGGTGAAAGGGAGTGGCAAAATAGAGTAGATTATCAAGGCTTTCATTTATCCACTGCTCTGATGGTTTTGCTCACTGAAGCAGTTAATTTGTTTCTTTTCACTGTCAGAATTTGTTGCTTAATCCTTTTTTCCCCTTTGGTGATGTATAGGATGGGACCAGAAGAGTTTGCCAAAGTACTGAACACCATCCCAGTCCTTTATCTTTGTGCCTGTCATACAATTCGTTAGTATGATTTTTTTTGTGTCAGATGTTGGGTGATAGTGGGTAGAACCACTATATAACCATTTCTTTCAACCTTAATGTTTCTCTACACCTAACAAAATGTATTTCAAAGAGAGTAATAGCCCTGCCATCTGTGGAATCAATTGTTGCTGTCAATACATTTTTTCAAAATAAAAGAATTCCATATTTTCTTTTCTGTATTAATTTTTTTCTTCTCATTGTTTAACAGCACTTTCTTTTAATCTGGTCATTTGCTTCTTCCAGTTTGACTGTTTGGGAGCATCTCCTGTGTTTTCATTTGTCAGTTGGACTCTTTAGGCTGTCTGGCATGGTTTGCTTTCTGTAGTTTGGATTTTTTTTTTTTTTGTAACTATCCTCCATGCTGAAGGCTTATAACAGCTAACTGTGTGATAAAATACAAAGAGAAAAGGTACTTTATTGGAGCCATTTCTTGTCCTAAACGCCTGCAATTTAAAAATGTTGGAGGAACTGGAGAGGTAAGGAAGGTAAAAGGATTGGAGAAGGCATTTGGCAGGGTTAAATAATATAATGTGAGCACCCAGTAGTTGTTCTTGTGTGAGGATAATGACTGTCATTGTCTTTAATATTTCATGTTCTGTTTACATATATGTTTTATTTAAATATTAATATTAAGTATTTGAGGTAGCCTTGTTTCATTTATGTGCACTATCTATGTTCCCTTTCCCCAAAGATACACCTAAAATATTTAAGCTAGTTTGGAACAGAAATTTTCTGTCCTGAAATTCTTCTGCCCTGTTTCCCTGAAAATAAGCCCTAACCTGAAAATAAGCCCTACTAGTATGTTTTTTCAGGATGCTTGTAATATAAGCCCTACCCCCAAAATAAGCCCCAGTTAATTGAAACCCCGCCCTCCACCATTGTGCAGCATTCTGCAGCAACTAGAAGAGGATATGACTGTATTTGAATAAATGTAGATTGTTGTACATAAAAACAATAAAACATTCCCTGAAATTAAGCCCTAATGCATTTTTGGGAACAAAAATTAGTATAAGACCCTGTCTTATTTTCAGGGAAACACGGTAAGCATACATTGTTAGTGCATGCTGTCATCATCATCTTTAATCACTAGATATAAACAATTCTGTGATAATATTAGACTTTACTTTCACTAATTTAAATTTTAAAACTGTCCATTTCATAGAGTGAGTGTTTCAGTTATGTTGGCTAAAGAGGGAGGTGTTTTTTTTTTCTTCATGTATCAGAAGGGAATAAAAATACCCATAAATTAGCTGCACTAGAGTTTGTTACTAGTTAGAGGAAGTTAGAGGCCGGCTACACAGCGGTTTATCCCACACTGAAACCTGTCATTCAGTCTTATTTCTTGAAGGGCATCCAAGCTTTGACTGTAGAAGGGCTTTCTTACACTATGTAGTGGAGTTATATCACGTAGCAGTTTCTCTTTGCTGTAGCAAATGTGATAATTATCTGTAAAACCGTGCAAATTGTCATTATTATGATTATTTTGGCCATTCTGTTCTCATATTCTTAAATCTGAAATACTGCTTGAATCTAAGAAATTGTCAATAGGAAGCTCTTTATTGTATAAAATACTTAATGCATAATCAATTGTCTAGATACATATGTGATCATACAACTCAGTTCCCCGTTTTTGCAAGCAGCCATTTTTAACTTCTCAACATGTACAAATTCAGTGAAATAAATGTTGTTTATAACTTGTAGATTTTAATGCATGGAAGTACTTTCTAACTAGAAAGCTAGCATAGTTTGAGTTTGGTCAAAGAGAAAGTGTAGTACAGTCTGCCAAGGAACATTAACAGCTTCTTTTATATTGTGGCAGGGTGAGCAGGCAGCTGAGTTAATAGGGAATAGTCATTTGTCAATTCCAGTTGTTATCATAGTAGGTCACATATTTTAAAGGAACCATGCTCTTTACATTATGCAAGGACATGTTGAAATATGTTCTGCATTTGTACTATCACGGCTTATGAAATATTGTTTGCTGCACAATGAAGTTCATGATCGCTGTCTTAACTGCTGATGCCAAAATATGTGAAGAATTGCTCAGAGCTGGCGGTGTTTTCTTAAAACGGGGTGCTATGAGATGTTACTTCTGAGAGACTATTCATTGTTGATAGCTGTGAGATACTTTTCTATACATGTATTTTCAAGATTACTGTTGCTTGGTAAGAACTCTTTGTTTACGTACTTTATCTATTGTTATTTTATTGTATTTCTCTCCCCCCTTTCTGTCTGTCTGTCTGTCTGTCTGTCTGTCTGTCTGTCTGTCTGTCTCTCTCTCCCTCCCCCTCCCTGCCTCCCTCTCTCTCTCTCTCTCTCTGTGTGTGTGTGTGTGTGTGTGTGTGTGAGAGAGAGAGAGAGAGAGAGAGAGAGAGAGAGAGAGAGAGAGAGAGAGAGATGTGCCATCAAGTTGGAAATAAC